GGGGGGGGGGGGTGAGTGTAGCGCATGTAATCACTGTGGATTTTTAGAACCTTGGGGAATAAATGGGCATAAAATAGCTATTAAGGGCTCTGTCATGCCCCTTTTCCAGTTTGTTTAAGAGGAGAGAGATAATGTGTGTTATATGCTACCAATTTGCTTTTTGAAACTGTTGTATGACATTAAATTTAGCAGAAACAAAACTTTTTATTTGTTCTTTTTTAGATACAACGTCCATTCTGAGTTCATCGTCAAGCTCAGGTGGTTTAGAGGAAGGAGGAGAAGCTGTTTTTAGTGAATCAGAGTATGTGGAGTTCAAGGACAATGTTAGGGATGATGCTATTGCTCATATGGTGGAAGAATTGTCATTAGATGGAGATCAAGATGCAAAGAAGCTTATTTTCAGCCTTAAGGAGATATTTGGTTTCAGCCATATCCCACTAAAGAAGCAATCTTGAATTCTGAATAAAGAAGAACAGTATTTTTATGTACTACAAGCAATGCTTCAGTGAGGGATGCAAGTCATCCAACTTCCCAACTTCAACAATTTCAAGCAATACACTGTTATAACCTTGCACTAAATAACAAAGACAAAGAGGTTTAGCCTTGCCTCTTGAGGTTTTTTTAATTATTCCACATATAGTTGGGTTAATAAATAGTGATTAAAAGTCTCTTGTTGCAAATTTTGCAACTTTTTAGTATTTAACTTACCATTAAAAGAAGATTAACCATTCTTCTTGCTTTGTTACTTACTCTTCAATTGTGAATTCTTTGTTCTTGAGTTGTTTCAGCTTCGAGGCCGCCATGTCCATGGCTTCTGGGTGAACCTTGTTGTTGCCCTTGCGCGCCTTTTTTGGTCAAAAGAGAGACCACAAACCCATAGCTTGCCCTTTGCAAAATAACCCTTACTAAATCTATTTCACATGAATGTCTTTGTTTAATTTAGTCCCATAGTCTCTCTCAAAAACAATTACAGAATTTTAGGGTGATACCAGGCCGGTTGGCTTTAGTAAAGGATTCCTTCGATTTGGAGCAGCCACAATGCCACCAGAAGGCATGGGCTGAAAAACAGTGATGAAAGGGCTGAAGCTGGAAGTCAGTAAAACTTCTTCGAGTGTGTTGGCTCCACTCACGCACGTCTGCATATCAACAGAGTCTTTGAAGTAGTTAAAGGTGACTTGAGGATTATCATCAGCATTCAGAGTTAAAAGTCGGATCTCTCCACTTGAACGAGGCTTAGCGACCTTCTGCGTGACCACAACGATTGGACTCTTCTGCGGACTGCTTAACCCTTCGAAGTATGTTCCAGATGGATCGATCCCCACACTTTGAATGAGGGAAACTTCAACTGGGGATGGTGAGCTGATGTAGACTCTGGTGGATGGATTTTCAACTATGTGTTTTCCAACATCGGGGGAATCTGCAACCACTTTGATTTTCTTAGCTTGAAGGTGGTCTCTGGGGCCAATTCCACTAAGCATGAGCAGCTGAGGAGTGCCTATTGCACCTGCTGTGAGTATCACTTCACTTTTGGATGAATTCTGGAGAAGAACAGTATACGTTTTCCCAGATAAACGGCCTGTGACTTGAACACCTACAGCTCTTGGAGTACCAGAACCTATTTAAGAGAAACGAAAACACGTCAAACTTATAAAAACTGAATAATTCTCAAAGCTCAGACACCTCGGACTTGCAGGAATCAACTCACAGGCTCCATCCCGGAAGATGTTTGCACGCTAATTATCTAGACTTAAGTAGAAACCAGCTCCATGGACTCCTTCAATCTGGCCTCGAGAATTTGAGAGTGCTTGGCCTCGGATCCAGCTATGGAGCCAGATACCAGCTGAGATTAGACAACTTTCTAGCCTACACCAGCACAAGTTTGCTAGACGGAAGAAAACAAAGAAATGAGATTATAGCTGTGGTAAGTCAATAGTGTTTATGCATTTTGTTTGTTGGTGAATGTCTACCATTGAATTCATGAGGTAAATGCTCTCTATCATTCTCCTTAAAGCTTATCCTCCAAATAGCTTTCTGTCATGCAGGAAAATGTCAAGTCAGTTTGTTCATGTTAGCATACATGTTTTTGCCACTGTGAAGGCCATTAGAACTTGTTCTAATTTAGATTTTTCATTATAACACAGTTAATCAGGTGAGTAAGTTTTTCAATATAGTCCTTCATTGTTTTGTTGAAAATATCAAAGTTCCATATGATCATTCTTCAAGATAATGGAATTGTGTATTCATTGTGAAGTAGGTTGCTTGCAAGCAAGTATGAGCAAGGTTGTCTGTTGCCATTTCTTGTCTGATGCTCCATGTTATGATGAGGGGCAATAAAAGCAACCTCAAACTCATCTATGATAGACATTAATAGTTTTTTATTCGCAATGCATATAAGACTCTTTAAGCCAATTCCACTATCAAAGACTTACATTATGTAAAACCATTGGAATAATCATTAAAATCTTTGCATCTAAGGTT